TCAGCCTGGACAACAAAAGCAAGACTCTGTCTCAAAAAAAAAAAAAACAAAAAGCAAAAACCAAAAAACAAACAAACAAACAAACAAAAAACAATGGGCAATGGCATTAGGAGAGAGGAAATAATGGAGGAGTGACTCAGTAAATCCTTTTGTCTGATTCTGACTTTTAGAACAATGTGATTGTTTCACATACTCTGAAAAATCATTAAACTCAACCAGGATGTGTGGGGAACCCAAAATAAAATACAAACAGTAACACATTAACAATCTATATTACACATAAATATTATGAATACAAAGGGTTTAGGGAAGAAAGTAGTTTTAGAAAACTGTATTTTCACTATATACTGTAAGACTAAAGAAAAAAAGAACTGCATGGTATGTGGAGGTCAGCAATTCTTAAATTACTTTTTACACAGGACTGAGCAAATAAATAAAACATACTACGGTTCATGTGAGCCACAATTTTCAAGGTCGAAGACAGGAGTTACAAAAAGGAAAATGGAGGCAAGACATGATGGTTCACATCTATAATCCCAGAACTTTGGGATGCCGAGGAAGGAGCATCACTTGAGGTCAGGAGCTTGAGACCAGCCTGGGCAAATAGTGGGACCCTTGTCTCCACAAAAAAATTTAAAATTATATTTTAAAAAAAGGAAATGGAGGCCGGGCGTGGTGGCTCATGCCTGTAATTACAGCATTTTGGGAGGCAGAGGCGGGAGGATCACCTGAGGTCAGGAGTTTGAGACCAGCCTGACCACCATGGCAAAAACCCGTCTCTACTAAAAATACAAAAAAACATTAGCTGGGTGTGGTGGTGGGCGCCTGTAATCCCAGCCACTCGGGAGGCTGAGGCAGGAGAATTGCTTGAACCCGGGAGGTGGAGGTTGCAGTGAGCCGAGATGGTGCCATTGCACTCCAGCCTGGGCAACAACAGGGGGGACAGGATCTCACTCTCACCCAGGCTGGAGGGCAGTGGCACAATCACAGCTTCAGCCTCCTGGGCTAAGGTGATTCTCCTGCTTCAGCCT